ACTGCATCATTACTGTGTCTGTCACGCGACTCTGTTGCCTTTTCGGGCTTGAACTGATGGTAAAACTAATGACATTATTTACTGTCTTTACGTTTATTTTGAAAGATGAAGCTCGTGATTATGGTAAGGGGCGTTACATTTCTGACGCGTGCTTGCGGTGTTCGGCCAATCACAGTGCACTGGGTCAGCTGGCCAATCAGAGCAGACTGCGCTTGTCAAAGGAGGGGGCTTTGTAGAAAACGAAGCGTTTGAGAGAGGCGGGGCATAGAGGACCTACAATAATGTACAGTATTTGAAAAATAATGTGTTTTTTGAACATTAAAGCATGTCAACATATTCTGTTACACCAAATACACCAAATAATGATCTTTAAAATAGCATCATATGACCCCTTTAATATGTATAAAATAATTTAACATTGTATATTAATAGTATTTATGATTAGAGTATTTTTGTAAAGCTATAAAATAGAAGGGAATTATTCAGAAAATTATATATAAAACGGGAAGCTTTTAATAGAAGTTGGGTTTTATTTTACATTGACATGTTAATGCTTCTAATCAGTTTTTGTGTGCGTTTAAGAAGATCTTTTGACTTTTGGTACATCATCGTTAAAAAAAAAAAGACAAATATTTATCACTGACCATATAATTGAATCTAATTCTTTGTGTATTTTTAAAACGCATCTTCTAAAGGTCAAGGAGAACGGGGCTAATCTTGCCATCTGCCAGTGGGGATTTGATGATGAAGCCAATCACTTACTTCTGCAGAATGACCTTCCTGCAATCCGCTGGGTCGGTGGACCTGAGATTGAGGTTTGTAAAAACCAGAAAGGCGTTTATTTGAGATGGAAAACTTCTGTAACATTATAAATGTCTTTACTGTCACATTTGATCAATTTATTGCTTCCTTGCTGATGCTGAATAGAAGTATTAATTTCTTGCACAAGAACTGACCCCCGAATTTTTTATATGGTTGTGTATCTCTCTGTCAGTAGCACAGATGGGTTACTAATGTCTGTTGGGAAAGTGAACAAACTGAGATTTTATTTGTTTCCAGCTCATCGCCATTGCTACCGGAGGACGTATCGTACCCCGATTCAGCGAGCTGACACCAGAGAAGTTGGGCAGTGCTGGGCTGGTGAAGGAAATCTGCTTTGGGACCACTAAAGACAGAATGCTGGTTATTGAGGAATGCAAGAACTCCAGAGCTGTGACGATCTTTATCCGTGGCGGGAACAAAATGGTAAAGAGTTTTAAGTGCTAAATTGGGATGTTTTTTCCCCCTCAAGATATTAAATCTGTTTTTGTATCACTGTTACAATTTTGTCATCTCCTTCGCCTATTCATCTGAATCCATTAGATTATTGAAGAGGCTAAGAGAGCTCTCCATGATGCTGTGTGCGTCATCCGTAACCTCGTGAGGGATAACCGCATTGTGTATGGTGGCGGTGCCTCCGAGATCTCCTGCGCTCTTGCAGTCAACCAGGCAGCTGATAAGGTACACTATTTTTGGAGTCATCTGTACTCTATATGCTTTCAATCCCTGAGGTGCAAGAGGTTTTTTTTAAGCCTACGTTTAAAATATTCTGCTTCTATTCCAGTGCCCCTCTCTGGAACAGTATGCCATGAGAGCGTTCGCTGATGCTCTGGAGGTCATTCCTATGGCACTTGCTGAGAACAGTGGTTTGAACCCCATTCAAACAATGACCGAGGTCAGAGCCCAACAGGTCAAGGAAAACAACCCTGCACTTGGAATTGACTGCCTGCATTTATCAACAAATGGTATGGACTTACATTATTGATATGAAATTGTAAATAAAGATGAAAATACTCGAGCAGATTTATGAATTTTATGAAAAACAGCAAGTAAAGAATCATATTTTTAGTACTTGTGGAAAGTGGGGAAAAAAGCTTATACGCTTTCGCCAGAAAGTCGCGTATGCCTAAGGTTACAAATAAATGATGTTTATAGTGAATGCCCCTATGAATGGTTTTATTTCGGTGCATCCCTACTTTCCAGGATTCTTCATTGAACAAAGTTAACAGTATCTTTTTTTTTTTTTGTATTAATGTAAAAGTCACTGTTGGTGAATTTAATTAACAAATTAGTCTTTGTTCCATATTCATGTAATGGGTTCACAGTCTTAAACTGACACATACAAAAAATATATATTTGCCATTAAATTTGACTTAAATCTTTGCAGACATGAAGCAACAGCATGTGATCGAGACACTTATTGGAAAGAAACAGCAGATTTCTCTGGCCACTCAAGTAGTCAAGATGATTCTGAAGATTGATGACATCAGGGGCCCCGGCGAGCCTGAAGACTGAGCGTCGTGTAGCGGTGTTGAAAAGAATGGTCTCAAGCACTTCTAAAGGAATGTGTCGAACCTTCGTACTGTTATTTATCATTTGATACAGTTCAATGTAGTACTGAAGTGATCATTAAAATTGTTTTCTGATTTGTTTCTGTTGTCACTTCCTGAAAGTTACATTTAATGTTTGAATCTTGAGTATAGTTCAAAAGTGCCATCATTCAAAAAATACACAGAACTGCAAAAGTTTTCAAATGGATTTGAAGTTAATCACATTGATTTTTATCATCAGACTTTGACTTTTAACTCCGTTATTTTAACCCACTGCAGTTTACGTGTACTTAATCAACCAGCTGATCATATCTGCCCTGTCCTCCTCTATATAGGGTTTATCATCTGGATTAATGTCTTCTCTTTTGCGATGGACAAACCCATGTGTCTGATTTGGGAAGATCTTCACTTGGAAGTCAGCAGTGCACTTTTCCTTCAGTCTTGTCTCTAGTGTAGTCACCTTGGTTAAAAGTAAGAGAAAAATAAACATTAACTGATTGTGCAAAGTTTATGACCCTGAAATAAGTTTATTAATACAGAGGGTTCAGAATACATTTACACCCATTTATTATTTCTCCTTTTATTAGGATTGAAATTCAGATTAAAGCATATTGGACTGAATACTACATTGTAATAAGATGCTACAAATACTGTTAAATAGAACATGCTGTGACCATTTTAAAGAGAATTGTGATCTGATTATGTAAAGTATTTGATAGGAGCAAATTAAATAAAGCTTATCCATGAAACAATCCTTCCCATGGCAACAATATGTATATGTATTTACACACACATGTATAGAAATCATCTTGAAATGGAGCAAATCTCAAAATCTGTCCTTGACCTCTGCTTACCTGATCAAGTGGAATGACTGCATCGTTTTCTGCAAAGATAAAGAGGGTTGGACTCTTGAGATCAAACCTGTCTTCCCGCTCTCTAACAATACCTGGATAAAAGGAATTTATATATACAGTTGCTTGGATTGCAGAAAACATCTTGCCACATATTTCCTGTATCTTTGACTTTTCAAGAAGATACAACAAATGCGTTGACCATAGACAGAGACCCCAGCTTTGATTTCCTGATACTGAAGAGCAATGTAGTGTGTTGCAACACCACCCCAGCAAAAGCCCACAACACCTATATGCTTCACGCCACACTGCTCCTTCAGATACGTCAATACAACATCCACTTCCCTGGTTAACCGACAAGATTGTTTAGTCTTTCCTTTAAAGGCAGTCAAGTGCATCAAATAAGAACTAAGAATTTAGTTTGTTGAACTTGTACTTTTTGATGTCTGTAGGCTTTTTGTCCTCAAGCCACTGCTGAAATGTTGACCAGTCATGAGATGGGCTCCACAGCTCTTTTCCAACAAAGAAATCTGGACATATAGCACTGCAGGTGCAAAAAAATCATTTCATATTTTCATTTACTATTTTCATATTTTTAAGAATGTAAAACGGATATTTACATGTATCCATTGGCTGAGAGCATATCAGCCATGTATCTGGTGTTTGGAAGCTGCCATCCATAAATGTCTTGAATTACAATAATGGCCTTCTCTGATTGCACTATATTCTATGTATAATCGTTTTCTTAAATTCATTTTAAACTTCTTAAATCAATTGTTTTAATCATTCCTCTCCAAGACCTCCGTATTCAATCTTGTCCCCGATATCACATGGACAGGGCTTTGCTTCATTTGCCATCTGTTCATAAAAAGGAAAGCAAAGTGAACTCATTTTATTATTTAATCCCAAATTTTCCAGCTATGTACTTTATTTGAAAGCAATAAGCCCCTTCGCGCCGTGCCTAACAACGCCCCTTAGCTGTTATAAATTCACTGTAAACCACGGCTTCACAGGGCTTTTATAAAACGGTAATTCCATATACATAGTAAGGTTTCACAAACTAAAACGGAGCAAATAAAGTGTAATGATATTAGTAAAAACATTATTCTTCCACCAATCAATGTAGTTCCTCAGAATCAGTTGTGGTTGCAACAAAGTGGTTGCCGAGCAACACACAAACGTAAACAAAGGTGTATGTTTGTAGAGTAATTTACAACAGCTTCGAACGTGGCTCAGCCAATCAGAATCAAGGACCGGAACTCTCCGTTTTATAAATTGAAACAAAAACCGTATGCCTTTTCTTAAATAATAAATAAAAATTTTTTTTTTTAAAGTGTGACAGTATGTGGGGTATCCCTCGTCACAACTATAAATGGAGGTCAATATGTTTCAATATATAGTTGCAAACAATGAAGCAACATATTTTAAAATCTGAATGGCGATTATGAGGGGAAAAAGAAATGATAAACCCATATTCTTGTTTGTTTTACTTAATGCAAATATATATTTGAAGGAATTTATGACAAAGAGTGGTCATTGTGTGCATGTGACAACAATATCACATATTCTCCACAATTGTTGCTTGTATGGAAAAAAGACAGTCCTCAAGAAAGGCCACATGCAGTCACGACTGAGCTTTGCCAAAACGCACCTTGACGATTCTGAGGCAGACTAAAATTGAAATATTTGGCCTCAACACCAAACGATATGTCTGGCGGAAATCCAATACAGCTCACCATCCAAATAACAGCATTCCTCCAGTAAAGCATGGAGTAAAGCATCGATAATATCCTGTTATGGGGTGTTTCTCTGCAGCAGGGACTGAAGCACTTGTCAGGATAGAAGGAAAAAGTTTCAATATATAGTTGCAAACAATGAAGCAACATATTTTAAAATCTGAATGGCGATTATGAGGGGAAAAAGAAATGATAAACCCATATTCTTGTTTGTTTTACTTAATGCAAATATATATTTTTTAAATCTACAACTTTATAATGTGATTCAATAAGACCACTGATGTTTATTTGTGCTGTGATTTTTTTATGTATGCATGTACAGTGGGTATAGAAAAGAATCACCCCCTTTATAATAATCACATTTTGTTGCTTCGCAGCCCGAAATGAAGATGGACACAATTTGTGTTTTATCCAGCTGTATTTACTCAGTGCAACTTATAACATCTAAGTGAAAGATTTAACACCAACATCGCTCAGTATGAAAAGAGCTTTCCTGGAACATTTCAGTCCTTGGTAGTGAAACTGAAGCAAACAATCAACTATGGGTGGCAAGGCACTGTCAAAAAATCTCCGGGATAAAGTTGTGGACAGGCAGAAGTCAGGAGATGGATAGCTAAAATTTCAAAGGCTTTATCAATGTCTAGAAGCACAGTGAAGTCTATAAAAAGTGGAAGGTATTTGGTACAACACAGACCCTCCCTGGATCAGGATGTCACGCCAAACTGGATGAAAGAGCCGAGAGGAAACTGGTCAGAGAGGCGACCAAGAGGCTTACAGCAACTCTGAAGCAGTTGAAGGAATTTATGACAAAGAGTGGTCATTGTGTGCATGTGACAACAATATCACATATTCTCCACAATTGTTGCTTGTATGGAAAAAAGACAGTCCTCAAGAAAGGCCACATGCAGTCACGACTGAGCTTTGCCAAAACGCACCTTGTCAGGATACAAGGGAAAATGGATGGGGCAAAATAAAAAGGGGGAAGAAGGTGCATGACAATGACCCAAAGCACACAGCAAACCTGAGCACACAGTGGTTGAAGGAGAAAAAGGAGAATGTTCTTGCATGGCCTAGTCAGAGCCCAGACTGAAACCCCATTGAAAATCTGTGGAATGACTTGAAGACTGCAGTCCACAAACACTCACCATCAGATTTGACTGAACTTGAGCAGTTCTGCAAAGAAGAGTGGGCAAATATTGCAAAGTCTAGATGTGCAAAGATGGTAGAGACAAATCCCAACAGACTAAAGGCTGTAATTAAAGCAACATACTGACACATGTAACACCTATATAACATGTATAACAAGTTGGTGTTATATCTTTCACTTGGATATATATATATATATATATATGTATATA